ACCCAACAAAATCCTCATCTCCCCCTCACTCCCTGTGACCCACCCAATAAAATCCTCATCTCCCCCTCACTCCCTGTGACCCTTCCAACTAAATCCTCATCTCCCCCTCACTCCCTGTGACCTATCCAACTAAATCCTCATCTCCCCCTCACTCCCTATGACCCATCCAACTAAATCCTCATCTCCCCCTCACTTTCCGTGACCCACCAAAGAAAATCCTCATCTCCCCCTCACTCCCTGTGATCCACCCAACAAAATCCTCATCTCCCTCTCACTCCCTGTGACCCACCCAACAAAATCCTCATCTCCCTCTCACTCCCCGTGACCCACCCAACTAAATCCTCATCTCCCCCTCACTCCCTGTGACCCATCCAATAAAATCCTCATCTCCCCCTCACTCCCTGTGACCTATCCAGCTTATCTGAATTGCAGTATGAAGCAGGTCAGATGTTCGGAAAGGTTCGGGGAGTAACTTGCCTCCTGACTCCCCAAAGCCTGTCCCCTCAACGGGTAGCAGCCTGGTATGGCAACTGCTCTGCCCCGGACCATAAGAAACTACAGAAAGTTGTGAACACAGCTCAGATTATTATGGAAGCGAACCTCCCATCCATGGACTCCACTTACACTTCCCATTGCCATGGAATGGCTGCCAACATCATCGAAGACACATTGCACCCCGGTAATGCTCTCCTACAACCTCTTCCATCATGCAGAAGATACTACAGCTTGAACGCATGCACCAGCAGGTTCAGGAACAGCTTCTTCCCAGCTGTTATTAGACTGATGGATGGACTAACTTCAAATAATGTTGATCTTGTTAATGTTGATCTTGCCTCGCACACATCCTGTGCAGTGAAACCTGTATGCCTCACTCTGTCTAAGCATCCTATGATCTGTCTGGCCTTGTTTGCTATGATCTGCCTGTACTACTCGTAAAACAAAACTTTTCACTGTACTTAGGTACGTATGACAACAATAGATCAAATGAAATCAAATTAAATCAAATCAAGGCACAAGTCAGGAGTGTGATGGAATACTCCCCACTTGCCTGGATGGGTGCAGCCCCAATAACACTCAAGAAGCTTGACACCATCCAGGACAAAGCAGCCCATTTGATAGGCACCACATCCACAAGCATCCACGCCCTCCACCACCAACGCTCAGTAGCAGCAGTGTCTACTATCTACAAGATGCACTGCAGAAATTCACCAAAGATCCTCTAACAGCACCTTCCTCTAACCACGACCACTTCCTTCTAGAAGGACAAGGGCAGCAGACATATGGGAACAGCACTGGATGATTGCTTGGTGTTAGTGCGTTGTTTGGGAGGGTACATCTCAGTAAGGATTTAATACCTGCTTCGGTTTCTGTGCAGTGTGTGTCGCCGAGGTCATTGGGAGTGTACTCAGAATAAATGTGCTGCTGAGTGTAACCTGATCGGTAATCATCACTACATCACATTCGATCACAAACGCTACTCCTTCCATGGCAACTGTGAATACACACTCGTGGAGGTAAGGCTGGGATCGCACTGTTCATGAAAAAAAGCAATGCAAGACTGAGCATGTAGGATAGACCATCCATTCATCAGTGAGAGCCTGTACACTGGAGCACTGTCTCCCAGTGAGAGCCAGGGTATTGTCCACATTATGACTCTATAATGGGTGAACCATAGGGAACCAAGCTTGGCAGGTGATAAGGTAATGGTTTTGAAATGGTTAACGTTTATGTTATGTTTATGGCTCCACCCATTCCTATTGATGTCACACACAGACTGTAGAGATGAGAAGCTCTTTTCTCATGTTTACAGGCAGTTGGTATAATAAAAGAGATGTGCCAAGTTAAAAACACTCATAACCAAGGGAGAAACTGTGACATGTGGGGGAGGTGATGGCCTAATGGTATTCTCGCTGGACTGTTAATCCAGAGACCCAGATAGCGCTCTGGGGACCTGGGTTCAAACCCCGCCACAGCAGATGGTGGAATTTGAATTCAATAAAATATCTGGAATTAGGAATCTAATGATGACCATGAATCCATTGTCAATTGTCAGGAAAAACCCATCTGGTTCACTAATGCCCTTTAGGGAAGGAAACTGCCATCCTTACCTGGTCTGGCCTACATGTGACTCCAGACCCACAGCAATGTGGTTGACTCTTAACTGCCCTCTGGGCAAATAGGAATAGGCAATATATGCTGCCTGGCCAGCGATACCCTCATCCTGTGAATGAATAAAGAAAACAAAATATTGGGATGATACAGCATCCAGTCAACTCTAAAGTTGTTCATTTTACAACAGCATTGGGGTATATAAGGATACATGCTTTAAAACAGATATAAAGACATTGTGAAATAAGACAGTTTAAAATAACTTTGCAACAATAAGATTAATCAGCACATTGTGATGTAATGGAAAATGATGTAGTATGTGTAACACCTTCCCTGTTCGAGAAGTTACATACAGAACCCAAGCTTAGGGTCAGAGAGGTGTCCATTCTTAAGACAATTGCCTCAGAATCAAACACTAAGACTGAAGCTAAGTGAATATACGCTACTGTATTTTGTGGGTCTGGTTGCAGATTATGTTATTAACAGACAAAACTTCAAAGAAAATATGGACTTTTGATGATGCCTGTAAAACTTTAGCAGAAGAATTCTGCTGCCTGGAGAATCTGTAATAAAACTCATTAAAGATCACCATGGAGTGGCAGAAAATTATGATATAGGTCCTTGAAATCTGAATTCATAGGGCACAGAACATTTTGGAATTCTTGATGAAATGTTGTCAGATTTATTTCAGTCCATAGAAGATTTACCTTTGGAGAAAAATATTGAAGGGTGCTGGAAGCAGAACCCAGGAAGACTCATGGATAGATCCTGGCCAACACTAGCTCGAGGACAACAGTCTATCCACTTTCAAAAATGTGGGCACTATACAGGCACATGAGAAACCTCCGCAGGTAGCAAGATACATACTTGATCCTACCAATCAATGTCGGTACTGAGGGACAACAAAGCCTCATGGCCACAAACTTCCGCCATCAGGAAAGAAAGCTGTAGGTCACTTGCAGAAGTAACACGGAGTTTCAGAGCAATGCTGGTGGCCACATGGTCTGCAGAGAAGACCATCCAACACCATCAGAGAAGACACATACTGGGTGAGCTATTAGATGCCATTGGAGAATACAGTTGAGATATTCCTGGGGAATGAGCTAATACAGGAGAGATAGTTCAGGGCAACGGACACCCATTGATTGTGAGCTGAGAATAGTAACAATTACTCCCCATCACCAGAGCAGTATCCATGGCTGAAGAAGCAGAACATACAGTCCACAGAGATCAGACAACATGGTGCAGATGGAATAACTGTCAGAAACACAAGAATGTTACAGGCTACATTGCAATGCAATGCACACCAAGAGCTGAAACTGTGGATGTTGTTTACAATGAACCAGGTCTCCCAGACTCATGGTAGGACACTAACAGAAGAGAGAATCCATTGAGAATCAGGCTACGTTGGTGGAAAAAACAGGTTTGACATTGGCAATGTAAATAAAGAGTCAGCAATTACGAGGACCAGTGGGAGGTATTCAATCCTCAGTCTTAAAACATCAACTGTCCAGACTGGTGACAGAGAACTGTGCTGAACGAGCAGTGATCACCCTGTAGCACAACTCTGAATCTGAACATATAAACACACCAACAAGAGGATGCCATTTGGCCCTTTCAGCTTGCTCTGCTATTTCAATAAGAGGATAGTTGATCTAATTTTAATCTCAATACTACATTCCTGTATACCCTCCCACCCCAATAATCTTTCATCCCCTTGGGACTCGAGTCTATTGACCTCTGACTTAAAAATATTTAAAGATTCTGCACTCACTGCTTTTTGTGGAAGGCAATTCTAAAGAGAAAACCTTTCCTTGCCCCTGTTTTAAATGAGCAACTGGTTATTTTTAACCAATAATCCCCTAGTTCTAGATTCTCCAACAAGATAATGAAGAAAGGTTGGACAGACTGCATTAGAGACAAAAAAACTGCAGATGCTGGAATCCAAGTTAGCCAAACAGGAGGCTGGAAGAACACAGCAGGCCAGGCAGCATCTGGAGGAAAGGAGCCGTCAAAATTTTGGGTATAACCCTTCTTCAGGACTGCGGTTGTTTTCTTTAGAACAGTGGAGATTGAGGGGGGACATTGAGATGTACATGGACAGGGTGCGCAGAGAGAAACATTTCCCTTTGATGGAGGAATCAATGACCAGGGGGAAATGATTGAAAGTAAGGGGAAGGGTGTTTTGAGGGAATGTGGGGAAAAACCTAGGGGCTGGTGGGGGATCTAGAACTCATTGCCTGTGAGGATGTTACAGGCAGAAACCCTCAGCACATTGAAGAAGCTGTTAGATGTGAGGTTTATAAAATCATGAGGGGCATGGATTGGGTGAATAGCCAAGGTTATTTTTCCCCAGGGTAGTGAGTCTAAAACTAGAGGGTTTAAGGTAAGAGGGAAAAGATTTAAAAGGGACCTAAGGGGCAACTTTTTTACATGGAAGAAATGTGTGCATGGAATAAGCTATTAGAGGAAGTGGTGGAGGCTGGTACAATTACAAGATTGAAAAGGCATGGACATAGAACATAGAACGTAGAACATAGGACTGTACACAACAGTACAGGCCCTTCGGCCCATGATGTTGTGCTGAACTTTTACCCTAATCCTAAGGTCTATCTAACCTCCACTTCTACCTTATACTATCATCCATATGCCCATCTAACAGCCGCTTAAATGCCCCTAATGAGGCCGATTCCACTACCCTCTCCGGCAATGCATTCCATGCCCCGAGCACTCTGAGTAAAGAACCTACCTCTGACGTCTCCCCTATATCTACCTCCACTCACTTTAAAACTATGTCCCCTCGTAATAGCTACATCCACCCTAGGAAAAAGTCTCTGGCTGTCCACTCTATCTATACCTCTGATCATTTTGTACATCTCTATCAAGTCACCTCTCATCCTTCGTCGTTCTAAAGAGAAAAGCCCTAGCTCTCTCAACCTTTCCTCATAAGACCTTCCCTCCAATCCGGGCAACATCCAGGTAAATCTCTTCCTCACCTTTTCCAACACTTCCACATCTTTCCTGTAATGAGGCGACCAGAACTGGACACAATACTCCAGATGTGGCCAAACCAGGCTTTTGTATAGCTGGAGCATAACTTCACAGCTCTTGAACTCAATCCCTCTATTAATGAAAGCTAACACACCATACGCCTTCTTAACAACTCTATCCACCTGGGTGGCAGCTTTCAGGGAACTGCAGACATGAACCCCAAGATCCCTCTGCTCCTCCACATTGCCAAGAATCTTTCTGTTAACCCTGTATTCTGCTTTCAAGTTTGTCCTACCAAAATGAATCACCTCACACTTTTCAGGGTTAAACTCCATCTGCCACTTCTCAGCCCAGCTCTGTATCCTATCAATGTCCCTTTGTAACCTAGAACAGCCCTCCGCACTGTCCACAATGCGACCCACCTTCGTATCATCCGCGAACTTAATAATCCACCTTTCACTCCTTCATCCAAATCATTTACAAAAATCACAAATAGAAGAGGACCCAGAACAGATCCTTGTAGTACACCAATCGTAACTGAGCACCATGTTGAATATTTTCCGTCCACTACCACCCTTTTGTCTTCTAAGGGTCAGCCAATTCTGAATCCAATCTGCCACATTTCCCCCTACCCCATGCCTCCTTACTTTCTGCATGAGCCTACCACGGGGAACCTTATCAAATGCCTTACTTAAATCCATGTATACCACATCTACTGCTCTACCTTCATCCACGTGTTTGGTCACCTCTTGAAAGAATTCAATAAGGTTTGTGAGGCATGATCTACCCCTCACAAATCCATGCTGACTATCATGAATCAAACTGTGCCTATCCAAGTGATCATAAATCCCATCCCTCAGAGCCCTTTCCAATAATTTGCCCACCACTGACGTAAGACTAACTGGCCTGTAATTTCCGGGGTTATCCGGAAACAAGGGAATGACATTTGCCTGTCTCCAATCTTCCAGCACTATACCCGTGGACTATGAGGACGAAAAGATCATCGCCAAAAGCCCTGCGATCTCTTCCCTCACTTCCCATAGAATCTTTGGATAAATCCCATCAGGCCCGGGGGACTTATCTATCTTCAATTTCCTCAAAATTCCTAGCACATCTTCCTTACTAACATCGACTTCCTCTAGCCTACCAGCCTGTTTCACACTGTCCTCCTCTATAACTAGGTCCCTCTCAGTTGTGAATACCGAAGAAAAGTATTCGTTAAGGACCTCTCCTATCTCTTTAGGTTCCGTGCACTAATTCCCTTTACAATCCTTGATCGACCCTCCCCTTTCTCTGGTAGTACTCTTATTCCTCACGTACGTGTATAAAGCCATGGAGTTTTCCTTGATCCTATCTGCCGAGGTTTTCTCATGCCCCCTTATAGCTCTCCTAAGCCCTTTCTTCATCTCCTTCCTGGATAACTTCTATCCTTCTAGAGCCTTTCTGGATGGGTACATGAATAGGAAGGGTTTAGAGGGATATAGGCCAAATGCTGGCAAGTTGTCAGATTGGGATATCTGGTTGGCATCGATGAGTTGGACCATGTTGTATGACCCTATCACTCTATGTGCACTTGTGATGCCAAGGCAGACCAGTCTATAGACCAAGTGCTGAGAAATGGGGTTAGAATAGTGAGGTGGCTGTTTTTGGCCAGTGCAGATTCAATGAGCTTCAGATCACCATACCTCTAAGAGGAAATATCCTTTCCACATTCCCCAGTCAAGCCCTCTCAGGATCTGAACTGTTTCCAAAATATTCCCATCCTTCTGTGAGTAGAGACCAGTCTTGTACACTATTCTACATATGGTCTCTCCAATTCCCTGTATAACTGAAGGGTAACCTTTTTAGTTTTACATTAATTCCCTTTCAGATAAATGTTAACATTCTATGAGTTTTCCTGATTACTTGTTGTCCCTGCATGCTAACCTTCTGCCATTCTTTCTCTGAAAATGATTACTTGGCTGATCAAACAGCTCCAATCACTGACTGATGACATCCAGCCTTGAGGGTTGACATGAGGAATACTGCTTGGTACAAGGGGCAGGAGTCAGGGCGCTGCCTCCCAATGAGAGCACATTGGGAACTAGTGAAGGAGCTAACTTAATGACTCAGCAGTAATGCAGCAGTGCCAGTGACCGTGTTTCTCTTGCTGTGTAGGATTATGTGGATGGGAAGTTGCTGATTGTTTCTGAAAATGTTGCCTGTGGAGCTGGCGGCTCTCTAAGTTGCCTGAAGTCCATCACTGTGATAATCTACAAAACCATCGTCAAACTGAGGAGAACAGGTACAGGGAGTAAACAGGGTTGGAGGGTAGAATATGAGCAAGACAGGGGAGGGAGAGATGGGCGGGGGGCCAGGAAATCGTGCGAGAATGGGGGGATCTGAGGTTTCAAGTGGAATGGAGTTAGTGATTGCAGATAGGGGCTGGGAACAATTGGAGGAAGGAGTAGGTACAATAGGGAGTGGGGTAATGGGACTGACAGAAGAATTGGACATGGGAGGGAGTGAACTGTAGAACTCAGGGATTGGTATTGCAGGTGGTCAGTGAATGCATGGAGCTGGCCATTTGTTGCTGTGTGTCGATCTCAGTGTGCCTCTGGGTGAGAATTCAGAATGAGCAGAGGCAGTTTACAGACTGGGCCAGTGATCTGTGTCTAACCTCTGGGATTGAGCTGGTGATAATACAATGGCCAGAGTAGGTGCTGTGCCTGATATTCAGTTTTCTGTGTTTTCCCAGGAGATGTGAGTGTGAATGGCCAGGATATCAGACTCCCCTTCACCAATGCTGACCTCTCAGTGTATCATGCATCATCCAGTTTTATCCTGCTGCAGACGTTTGGAGCTGAGCTTCTCTGGGCCCTAGAGTTTACAACAGCTCACATTATCCTGCAGCCTGTCTTTGCACACAGAGTGAGTATCCGCACTGACCCCAGGGTCAGTCTTCTCTCAGTCCACACTGACTCCCGTATCCACATTGTCTCCCATATCCGCACTGACGCCTGTATCTGCACTGACACCTATTTTCGCACTGACTCCCGTATCCGCACTGACCCCTATATCTGCACTGTCTCCCGTATCCGCGCTGACTCCCCATATCTGCACTGACCCCCGTATCTGCACTGACCCCTATATCCGCACTGACTGCCGTATCCGCACTGACCCCCGTATCCGCACTGATTCCTATATCCGCACTGACCCCAGTATCCACACTGACCCCTGTATCTGCACTGACTCCTGTATTTGCACTGACCCTTATATCCACACTGACCCCTATGCCTGCACTGACTTCCGTATCCGCACTGACCCCTATATCCGCACTGACACCTATATCTGCACTGACCCCTATTTCCGCACTGACTCCCATATCCGCACTGACCCCTATATCCGCACTGTCTCCTGTATCTGCACTGACCCCTGTACCCGCACTGACCCCTATATCTGCACAGACTCCCGTATCCGCACTGACCCCTATATCTGCACTGACTCCCGTATCCGCACTGACTTCCATATCCGCACTGACTCCTGTATCCACACTGACCCCTGTATCCGCACTAACACCTATATCTGCACTGACCCCTATTTCCGCACTGACCCCTGTACCCGCACTGACCCCTGTACCCGCACTGACCCCTGTACCCGCACTGACTTCCATATCCGCACTGACTCCTGTATCCGCACTGACTCCCCGTATCCACACTGACCCCCGTATCTGCACTGACCCCTGTATCTGCACTGACCCCTATATCTGCACTGACCCCCATATCCGCACTGACCCCTATATCCGCACTGACCCCTATAACCGCACTGACTCCCATATCCACACTGACACCTATATCTGCACTGACCCCTGTATCCACACTGGCCCCGGTATCTGCACTGACACCTATATCTGCACTAACCCCTCTATCCGCACTGACTCCCGTATCCACACTGACCCTGCGGGTGTCACTATCCACTCAGCCCATACTGACACTAAGGCCAGTTTTCCCTCGGACCACAGTGACCACTGTGTAGCTGGTGAAAGCACCGTTGCAAGACGTAGTGACCCAGCAGGGTGTGGGACTGATGGAGATCGCACCCTTGTTGGGGTCAGAGCTGGGAGCAGTTACAGATGCTGCTGTCTGGGGGTGGGGGGGGGGTGGTGGTATGCGTCTGCCTTTCTCTTCCCTCATCAAACTCCTATTCTCACTGCCCATCCTCCCATTGGTCACCCTGTGTGGTCCCGTTATAAAGGTTTATTGTTTCCCTTGTTATGCCCCCATTACCCAGATCCTGCCCCACTCTCTCTGATCTCTCTCTGTCCCTTCCCCCAGGTTCGTGGGTTGTGTGGCACCTACAACTGGGTTCAGAATGACGATTTTGCTACTCCTGAGGGTGATGTCGAGAGGAGCCTGGCTGCTTTCGTCAATAAGTTTAAAACATCTCCGGGATGTCCTGACATTGGCTTTCAATCCCTTGATCCCTGCAACACATTCACTCAACGTCGAGATTTTGCTGAGGGCTCCTGTCAGATACTGCAGAGCGCTGTATTCGAGGTAACTGGGTACTGCCAAGTGAAACCCAGGGGTAGAGGGCAGCGGTTGGCTTAGGATAATACAATGTCAAACTCGGCCAATACATCGAGAGCTGGCCCTAGCTTCTGCTTCTGGAGGCATTAATTAGATCGACATCATTCTGAAGAGCCCTTTACAGATTCAGGGTTTATCTCCTCGAGATCTGAAAATGTCTGTGCTATCCATATTCACATAACACCATCTGCTTGCATGGAGTTTTATACAGGCTTCCAACATTGACCGTCTCAGAACCATTGCCCCAGGTAACATTTGCCCCAAGTGTTTTTCCTGGAATGAACATTTCTATATACATTTCAATAGTAATGTTTACCACTCACTTTCCTTTCTTATTCAATCGTGGGACATATGCATCGCTGGCTGGGTCCAGCATTTATTGCCTGTCCCTAGTTGCCCCTTGAGAAGGTGGTGGTGAGCGGCCTTCTTGAGCCGCTCCAGTCCACCTGCTGTGGGTTGACCCACAATTCCCTTATGGAGGGAATTCCAGGATTTTCGCCCAGTGACGGTGAAGGAACAACGATATATTTCCAAGTCAGGACGGTAAGTGGTTTGGAGGGGAACTTGCAGGTGCTGCTGTTCCCATGTATCTGCTGCCCTTGTCCTTCTAGATGGAAATTATTGAGTTAAAAAGATGCAAACTAAGGCTCTTTGGTGAATTTCTGCAGTGCATCTTGTAGATGGTACACACAGCTGTGACTGAGCATCGGTGGTGAAGGGATTAGATGCTTATGGATGTGGTTCCAGTCCTGCCTTGTCTTGGATGGCTTCTCAAATTTCTTGAGTGTGGTTGGAGATGCACCAATCCAGGCAAGCGGGGAGTATTCCATCACACTCCTGACTTGTGCCTTGTAGATGGTGGACAGGCTTTGGGGAGTCAGGAGGTGAGTTACTCGCTGCAGTATTCCCAGCTTCTGGCCTGTTCTTGTAGCCACTGTGTTAATGTGGTGAGTCCAGTTGAGTTTCTGGCCAATGATAACCCCCAGGATGTTGATAGTGGGGGATTCAGTGATGGTAACACCATTGAATGTCAAGGGGCAGTGGTTAGATTGTCTCTTATTGGTGATGGTCATAGCCTGGTATTTGTGTGGCACGAATGTTATTTGCCACTTGTCAGCCCAAGCCTGGATATTGTCCCATTCCAAAGAAGATTATTATTGGATTAGATATGCTGCTTTCTCTCCACTGATACTGTCAGACGTGCTGAGTTTCTCCAGTGATTTCGGATTTTCTTTCAGTATGTTTTCACCTACAGTATTTTGCATTTATTATGTCTGGGACATGCTGGATTTGTCTGCAGCGTGGGGAGCTCTCTGATTTCATGATTTTATGAAGTCCTCCAGAATGTGACCTCATTGGACACAAAAATCGGATTGGAGTCTGTGTTGAGAATTCTTGGTCTTGATTCTGTTCTGGATTCTCTGAAATCTGTGAAGCCTTTCAGCACATGAGGACCTTTCTTCTCTTGGATGAACTTTGTTCAGGGTGTTGCTCCAATCAGTTGGCCTTTTTAACATCTGGAGGACATCTGAAGGTCTATCACAGAGAACTCTCCCTGGTTAAACAGAGAACTGCTCCAGAATCTTTCAGGGAAAATGGCTGCTCAGCTAAAACAGATATTTCTTTGATGTAATATACTGGATCTCCAAGCCAGGTAATTTCCTTGGAACCATCTCTGCACGGTGATCATCCTACCTCTGTGGTGGTTTCCACAGACTCTTGTGGAACTGATCTGCAATGTGAGTCTTTGTTCTCAATCTGCCAGGACAATCTGTGCTGAAACATGAAAGCTCCTGATGAACCTGCCCATTTCCCTTACCCCACCCCCCCGCCCCGTGTAGCTGTCTCTGGTCAACCCAGTATGATGGTTTGCTCACTCTGGCCACCTGAGGATTGCGTCTCACACAGCGCAGTCTTGGTCTCTACTGATGGTCCTCTTAGGTCATCTCATCATCTGCAATAAAACTCAAATCTGCCAGAGATAGTAGGAACTGCAGATGCTGGAGAATCTGAGATAACAAGGTGTAGAGCTGGACGAACACAGCAGGCCATCAGAGGAGCAGGAAGGCTGACGTTTCGGGCCTAGACCCTTCTTCAGAAGAGTTTATTTCATTTCTGAAGGAGTCTAGGCCCAAAACATCAACCTTCCTGCTCCTCTGATACTGCTTGGCCTGCTGTGTTCATCCAGCTCTACACCTTGTTATCTCAAATCTGCCAGGAATGATTTGTTCTCCAGACTGTGTGATTGCCGACACAATCTCCATGAAAGATTCCTGTGATAGGGTCAAACTCCTCACTACATTGCTCAGCAGTGACATAGAATCATAGAATCCCCACAGTGGGAGGAAACGGGAGCACCCGGAGGAAACCCACGCAGACATGGGGAGAATGTGCAAACTCCACATAGACAGCTGCAAACAGCTGAATTTTGTCTTCAGTGTTGTTAAGAGTGGAAGGCATTTCTTCCTGTATAGCCACAGATTCCCATCCTGTTGACAGTATGAAACAATGAAATGTTTGTAATCTATAGAACATAGAACACAGAACAGTACAGCACAGTACAGGCCCTTTGGCCCACGATGTTGTGCCAAACTTTTACCCTAATCCTAAGGTCTATCTAACCTCACCCTTACCTTATACTATCATCCATATGCCTATCTAATAGCCACTTAAATGCCCCTAATGAGGCTGCCTCCACTACCCTCTCCGGCAACGCATTCCATGCTCCTACCACGCTCTGAGTAAAGAACCTACCTCTGACTTCTCCCCTATATCTACCTCCACTCACTTTAAAACTATGCCTCCTCGTAATAGCTCTCCACCCTAGGAAAAAGTCTCTGGCTGTCTACTCTATCTATACCTCTGACCATTTTGTTCACCTCTATCCTTCGTCGTTCGAATGAGAGAAGCCCTAACTCTCTCAACCTTTCCTCGTAACACCTTCCCTCAATTCCAGGCAACATCCTGGTCAATCTCCTCTGCACCTTTTCCAACACTTCCGCATCTTTCCTGTAATGAGGCGACCAGAACTGGACACAATACTCCAGATGTGGCCGAACCAGGCTTGTGTATAGCTGGAGCATAACTTCACGGCTCTTGAACTCAATCCCTCTATTAATGAAAGCTAACACACCATACGCCTTCTTAACAACTCTATCCACCTGGGTGGCAGCTTTCAGGGAACTGTGAACATGAACCCCAAGATCCTTCTGCTCCTCCACACTGCCAAGAATCTTTCCGTTACCCCTGTATTCTGCTTTCAAGTTTGTCCTTCCAAAATGAATCACCTCACACTTTTTAGGGTTAAACTCCATCTGCCACTTCTCAGCCCAGCTCTGCATCCTATCAATGTCCCTTTGTAACCTAGAACAGCCCTCCGCACTGTCCACAATGCGACCTTCGCATCGTTCATGAACTTAATAATCCACCCTTCCACTCCTTCATCCAAATCATTTACAAAAATCACAAATGGAAGAGGACCCAGAACAGATCCTTGTGGTACACCACTCCTAACTGAGCACCATGTTGAATATTTTCCGTCCACTACCACCCTTTTGTCTTCTAAGGGTCAGCAATTCTGAATCCAATCTGCCACATTTCCCCCTATCCCATGCCTCCTTACTTTCTGCATGAGCCTACCATGGGGAACCTTATCAAACGCCTTACTTAAATCCATGTATACCACATCCACTGCTCTACCTTCATCCATGTGTTTGGTCACCTCTTGAAAGAATTCAATAAGGTTTGTGAGGCATGATCTATGCCTCATAAATCCATGCTGACTATCATGAATCAAACTGTGCCTATCCAAGTGATCATAAATCCTATCTCTCAGAGCCCTTTCCAATAATTTGCCCACCACTGACGTAAGACTAACTGGCCTGTAATTTCCGGGGTTATCCCTATTCCATTTTTTGAACAAGGGAATGAAGTTTGCCTCTCTCCAATCTTCCGACACTATACCCGTGGATGGTGAGGACGAAAAGATCATCGCCAAAAGCCCTGCGATCTCTTCCCTCGCTTCCCATAGAATCCTTGGATAAATCCCATCAGGCCCGGGGGACTTATCTATCTTCAACTTCCTCAAAATTCCTAGCACATCTTCCTCTGGCCTACCAGCCTGTTTCGCACTGTCCTCCTCTACAACTAGGTCCCTCTCAGTTGTGAATACTGAATAAAAGTATTCACTAAGGACCTCTCCTATCTCTTTAGGCTCCGTGCACAAATTCCCTTTACAATCCTTGATCGGCCCTACCCTTTCTCTGGCCATTCTCTTATTCCTCACGTACGTGTAAAAAGCCTTGGAGTTTTCCTTGATCCTCTCTGCCAAGGTTTTCTCATGCCCCCTTATAGCTCTCCTAAGCCCTTTCTTCAGCTCCTTCCTGGATAACTTGTATCCTTCTGGAGTCTTTTTCGTTCCTTGTTTCCTAAACCTTACATAAGCATCCTTCTTCCTCTTAACTAGTCGCTCGGCCTCTCTTGAGAACCAAGGCTCCCTCACTCGACTGCATCTTTCCTGCCTGCTCGGGACAAACATATCGAGCACACGCAGTATGCATTCCTTAAACAATCTCCACATTTCAATAATGCTCTTCCCTGACAGCATCTGTTCCCAATTTATGTTACCCAGTTCTTGCCTAACAGAATTGTAATTACCCTTCCCCCAATTATAAACCTTACCCTGCCATATGTACCTATCCTTTTCCATGACTATTGTAAAAGTAACAGAGTTATGATCGCTACCGCCAAAATGGTCTCCTACCAACAGGTCTATCACTTGGCCCGGTTCATTGCCAAGCACCAAATCCAAAGTGGCCTCTCTTCATGTTGGTCTATCTACAATACTGTGTCAGGAATCCTTCCTGAACGCACTGGACAAAATCTGCTCCATCTAAACTATTACAACTAAAATGTTTCCAATCAATATTTGGAAAATTGAAGTTACCCATGACTACAACCCTGTGACTTCTGCACCTTTCCAGTATCTGTCTCCCAATCCACTCCTCCACTTCTCTGCAGCTCGTATGGGGTCTGTAAAAAAAAACCCCCAACGAAGTGACTGCTCCTTTCTTGTTCCTGACCTCAACCCAAACTGACTCTGTAGACATATCATTCTCGAACTGCCTTTCAGTAGCTGCTATACTTGCCCTGGCTAGCAATGCCACTCCCCCACCTCTTTTTCCACCCTCCCTATTTTTTTTAAAGCATCTAAATCCCGGACCTTCCAACATCCATTCCTCTCCCTGAGTTACCCAAGTTTCTGTAATGGCCACAACATTGTAGTTCCAAGTACTGACCCATGCTCTAAGTTCATCCTCCTTATTTCTGATACTTCCAGCATTGAAGTATACACACCTCAAACCATCCCTTTGTCCACAATTACGCTCCATCCACTGCATTTCTTTACTAACAACCTCACTCCCTGCTGTGTCTGTTGGAAGGCTGAGTACTTCATCCTCTGAATTACAAATCCGGTTCCCTACCCCCTGCCAAACTAGTTTAAACCATCCCGTACAGGTCTAGCAAACCTCCCTCCCAGGATATTTGTGCCCTTCCGGTTCAGGTGCAACCCGTCCTTACTGTACAGGTCCCACCTTCCTCAGAATGTGCTCCAATTATCCACATAATGGAAGCCCTCCCTCCTACACCAGCCCTGTAGCCACGTGTTTAGTTGCACTCTCTCCCTATTTCTTACCTCATTATCACGTGGCACTGGTAGTAATCCAGAGATAACTACCCTGTTTGTCCTGGACTTCAGCTTCCAACCTAACTCCCTGTACTCATTTTTCACATTCTTTTGGATTCTGTCTTTATTTTCAGATCTGCTATATTTGTCTCTTTATCAATTATTCAACAATTAATATATCCTTAACCCATGGTTCTATGATTGTTGTCTCTTTGGACAGGGACAAGAGTGGGCCATTTTGCTCCTCGAATCTGCTCTGCCATTCAATAGGATTATGCCTGATCTGACGTTCCTCTTGTCCACTTTCCAGCCCTTTCCCTGTAACCCTTGATTCCTCTACTGATCAACAATATATCCATACAAGACTTACACATACATAAGGACTGTATCCTCACAGCTCTATGTGGCAAGGAGTTCCAAAGACTCCCAACCTTCAGAGAGAAGATGGGGAAATATTCTCTTAGCATTTACTCTGTCGAGCCCCATAAGAATCAATATGTTTCAATGAGATCACCTCTCATTTTTCTAAACTCCAGTGAGTAGAATCCCATCCTGTTCAGCCTTTGCTCATTAGACAATCCCTCCATACTGGTGATCATCCCAGTGAACCTTCTCTGAACTGCCTCCAATAAAATGATATCTTTCATTAAATAAGGGGACCAAAACTGCTCACAGTACTCCAGATGTGGCCTCATCAGCACCTTGTACAGTTGCAGTAAGACTTCCCTACTGTTATACTCCAAACCCCTTAAAATAAGGGCCAACATTCCATTAGCCTCCCTGATTTCCTGCTGCACCTGTGTGCTAGCTCTCTGTCCAAAAACAGAAGTTGCTGGAAAAGCTCAGCAGGTCTGGCAGCATCTGTGAAGAGAAATCAGAGTTAACATGTTAGGTTCAGTGACTCTTCCTCAGAACTGCTTTTCATCTTGTGTACCTTGATTTCTCTAGTCACTAGACCCGAAACGTGAACTCTAATTTCTCTCCACAGATGCTGCCAGAGCTGCTCAGCTTTTTCCAGCAATTGCTGTTTTTTTTTCTGATTTCCAGCTTCCATAGTTCTTTTGGCTTTTATAGTGCTAGCTTTCTGTGTTTTGTCTACAAGTAGCCCTAGTATAATTTGCTGTCTCTTGGCTAGTAAGATTGAATGTGACTAGATCTCCTTCTGCCATTTCAGTAGGGTTGACATCATTAGGTCATGGTCCAGGCATTATCACTGGGTCACAAGTTTCCTCAGTAGGGACACTGCATAGTTTATTGCATAAGAATAATTTGGCTTAGATTGAAATAACTGCACAGAGGCTGGTATCCTGTTACCATCTCACCCTTTATTTACACGGGGAGATCCCTGACAATGATCCAGCTCCCTCAAAGCCAGCTCTCAGAGTAAACAGAACCCTTGACACTCCTGTTGCTATCTGTCAGCCAGGGCTCCCTGATTGGACCAGGTTAACAGCCCAATCAGGGAACTCATATTCTATGAGGTCCATCCGGCTGACCTCATTACAAACACGCCACTGATTACCTTAATAAGATGGACATTTTTACTAAGACCCTCTGGTCGAGGTAGGATGTCAGGTCTGTCCCATCTGAGACCCAAATATTTTCTCCACCCAAGTCCTGATGACATCAGCAAGTTAGGTGGAGCTTAATGTAGTTTTCAGCATTAACCCATTTAGAACCATGATCTAATACTTCAGAGGTCACTATGAAGTGTAGAGGTCACTGTGAAAGAAGGTTAATGTGAACGTCAGAGGTAGCTGTGAGTGACAGGTCACTGTGAGGTGTTCAAAAGTCACCAACAGGGTCAGAGGCCAATATGAAGGTCAGAGATCACTGTGAGAGTCAGAGGTCACCATGGGGCAGAGGTTGCTGTGAGGGAAAGGTCATTGTCAACGTCATAGGTTAACATGAGGGACAGAGGTTACTGAGCGATAGGTCACTATGTAGGTCAGCAGTCACCGTGAAGGTCAGAGGTCACTGTGAGGGGTTCAAAAGTCACCCTGAAGCTAATGGTGTCCAACGGGGGATATTTGGTGAAAAGCAGAGTCTATGATGGATATGGTATTTCCTGCTCACGTTCTCAGTCAGACTCTCAGAACCATTGGAGATTCTTTCCCTGCTCTTCGAATCCTGTTGTTTAGTAATATGATGTTGTTGAGTAATATGATGTTTGGTACATTTTAGAAAATGAATAATCTCTCCCTCTCTCTTTCTCTCCTGCCTTGGCCCCCCTCCCACTACATCTCTTTCACTCAACTCATGACCCCTTCCTTCTCTCCCCTCGTCCCCGTTCCTCTCCTCACTCTCCCTCTCACATCTGTCTTTCTCTCTCTCTCTCTTTCTCTCCGTCTCTCTCCCCCTCACATCCCCCTCTGTCTCCCCTGGTTCTCTCTCCCGGCCATCTCTTGCCTTCCCCCAGCCGTGTTATGACCTGGTGGACCTTGAGCCATTCTACAGCATGTGCCTGGATGATGTTTGTGGTTGTGAGAGTGCCGGGCACTGTGAATGTAGCAGTGTGGCAGCATTCGCCCGGCTCTGTGCCCAGGAGGGTGTCCATATCGACTGGAGAAGCAGCAACGTTTGCCGTGAGTAGCTGCAGCCGGGGAACGGAGCTGGGTTGTTGTGGTTTCATGCTACTGTGACTCCCATTCACCGGTAATAAGGGCCGGGGTTGTGGGGGGGTGGCGGGGGGGGAGCCATAAAGAATGAGCTGCTGGAGGAGGTGGTGGAGGCTGGTACAGTTACCACATTGAAAAGGTGTTTGGACTGGTACATGGGTAGGAAAGGATCAGCGGGATATGGGCCAAATGCAGGCAAATGGGACTACTGAGATAACAAGGTGTAGAGCTGGATGAACACAGCAGGCCAAGCAGCATCAGAGGAGCAGGAAGGTTGACGTTTCGGGCCTAGATCCTTGATACCATTGAGCTGCAGGGTTCCCAAGCGGAATATGAGTTGCTGTTCCTGCAACGTTCGGGTAGCATCGTTGTGGCACTGCAGGAGGCCCAGGATGGACATGTCGTCTGCGAAATGGTAGAGGGAGTTGAAATGGTTTTGCAGCCCAATGGTATCAATGTGGACTTCAAAAGCTTCAAAATCTCCCCTCCCCCTACCGCATCCCAAAACCAGCCCAGCTTGTCCCCGCCTCCCTAACCTGTCCTTCCTCCCACCTATCCCCTCCTCCCACCTCCAGCCCCACCCCCACCTCCTACCGACTAACCTCATCCCGCCCCCTTGACCTGTCCGTCCTCCCTGGACTGACCTATCTCCTCCCTACCTCCCCACCTACACTCACCTTTACTGGCTCCATCCCTGCCTCTTTAACCTGTCTGTTTCCTCTCCACCTATCTTCTCCTCTATCTATCTTCTATCCGCCTCCCCCCTCTCCCTATTTATTTCAGAACACCCTTCCCCTCCCCCATTTCTGAAGAAGGGTCTAGGCCCGAAACGTCAGCCTTCCTGTTCCTCTGATGCTGCTTGGCCTGCTGTGTTCATCCAGCTCTGCACCTGGTTATCTCAGATTCTCCAGCATCTGCAGTTCCTACTACCTCTGTGGAAAATGGGACTAGTTCAGTTCAGGAAACCTGATCTCCAGGAACGAGGGGAAGAGCTGGCTGCAGTGGTCTGGGACACAAATTACTGCTCGATAGCAGCAGTGTGTACTATCTACAAGATGCACTGCAGAAATTCACCAAAGATCCTCTAACAGCACCTTCCAAACCCACGACCACTTCCAGCTAGACAGACAAGGGCAGCAGATACATGGGAACACCACCCCCTGCAAGTTCCCCTCCAAGCCACTCACCGTCCTGAGTTGGAAATATATCGCCGTTCCTTCACTGTCACTGGGTCAAAATCCTGGAATTCCCTCCCTAATGGCATTGTGGGTGGAGGTTAGATAGACCTTAGGTTCAGGGTAAAAGTTCAGCACAACATCATGGGCCAAAGGGCCTGTCCTGTGCTGTACTGTTCTATGTTTTATTTTCTATGTGGCTCAACCCTACAGCACATAGACTGCAGCAGTTCAAGAAGGCAGCTCATGCCATCTTCTCAAGTGGACAGTGGAATGTCTCTCGAGATAGTAGGAACTCAGATGCTGGAGAATCAGAAATAACAAGGTGTAGAGCTGGATGAACACAGCAGGCCAAGCAGCATCAGAGGAGCAGGAAGGCTAAGAAGCCTTCCTGCTCTTCGGGCCTTCCTGCTCCTCGAATGTCTCTAGATGTTATTTTATTGACTTCTGGAAGGGAACTTTATAAAGTTCCTCACAAGTGACTGTTCACTAAAGTTGAAACCAATGGAATTGAAGACAAATGATTGACAAAGGGAGTCGGGAAGTAGGGAGAATAGACAGGGATTCACCTCCATGTGATAGAATCTCTCAGTTACTCTGGTGGATGGGTCTAAGAATCATGCTTCCTAACATACTCTCTGTGTCTCTCTTCCTCTCTCTGCCTCACTCTCTCTCTCCTCTCTGTCTCGTTCTCTCTGACTGTCACTGTCTCTCTCTCTGTCTTTCCCGCCCCCCCCCCTCTACTTGCTGTCTGTCTGTCTCTCTCTGACTGTCTCTCTCTCTCTCTCTGTGTCTCTCTCTGTCTGTCTCCCTCTCTCTCTGTCTCTCCCCCTCTCTATGTCTCTCTCCGTCTCTACCGCTCTCCCCCTCTCTCTCTCTGTGTCTCTCTCTGTCTGCCTCCCTCACTCTCTGTCTCTTCCCCCCTTTCTCTCTGTCTCTTCCTCCCTTTCTCTCTCTATGTCTCTCTCTGTCTCTCCCCCTCTCTCTATGTCTCTCTCTGTCTCCCCCCCTTCTCTCTCTCTGTCTCCCTCCCTCTTCTGTCTCTCTCTCTGTATCTCTCTCTCTGTCTCAGTCTATCTTTCCCTGTTCACTCTCTCTCTGTGTTACTCTGTGAACTGAAGGTTGTGGTTCTAATGAAGGTGATGTTTTCTCTCTCACAGCGATACAGTGTAGTGGTGGCCAGGTGTACAGTGACTGCTCTAGACCATGTCAGAACTCCTGTGTACACCTGCGCATGGGCCTACAGTGTGGCTCAGGTGTGAAGTGTGTCCCAGGCTGTAACTGTCCCGCAGGCTTGGTGCTGGATGAGGAGGGTCAGTGTGTGCCACCGTCCCTGTGCCCATGCCTGTTTGATGATACGGTCTACCCAGCTGGATCAACCAGGGACAGAAATTGCAATACCTGGTACGTGGGATAGCACAACGCATGGTCATCGCCCTCACACCCCCTTCCCTTCCTTACACCCCCTCACTCCCTCCCTCCCTAACTCTCACGCCCCTCTCACCTACTTTAAAGACAGACCAGGTTTCCCTCTGGGATGTGGTGGGTGCTCTATTCTCACCGTCAGAATGGGAGGACATGCCGGGAAATCCAGGCAGGGAGCAATCCGATCAGTCAGATTCCCCGGGATGAAGGCTCATCTCAGATGCTGCGAGACCCGCTGTTTCTGCTTAGATCCCCCATGAATAGTTTACAAAAACCAAAATAGCTGCAAAAATCACAGCAGGTCTGGCAGCATCTGTGGAGGAGAAAACAGAGTTAACGTTTCAGGTCCGGTGACCCTTCCTCAGAACTGATGGTGGCTGGGAAAACATCAGTTTATATGCAGAAAATAGGGAGGTGGGTGGGGTAGGGAGTAAACGATAGGATAGAGCCCAAAGAGAGAGAAAGACAGTTGGACAGACAAAGGAATTGCTAACGATCAGGCTGGGAGGGTAAATAGTTGTTAATGGGGACTGTTAGTGACTAACAACAGGGGGTGTGTAGTGGCAGGCTATGTGGTAACAAGGCCTGGTGTGTGGGATAAGGGGCTAGGACATCGGAGGGCACAGGCCCGAAAATTATTGAACTCAATATTGAGTCCGGAGGGCTGCAGGGTCCCCAAGTGGAAAACGAGGTGTTGTTCTTCCAGCTTTCACTGAGCTTCGCTGGAACACTGCAGCAAGCCTGAGACAGAGATATTGGACGGGGAGCAGGGTGATGTGATAAAGCAGCAGGCAACAGGTAGGCTCAGCAATAACAAGATGTAGAGCTGGATGAACACAGCAGGCCAAGCAGCATCAGAGGAGCAGGAAGGCTGACGTTTCGGGCCTAGACGCTTCTTCCATCTTTTTTATGAGCAGAATGTGGATGTTTGTTTGAATAGTTTGTGTTTGCTTCAGTGCGTGATTAGTGAGTTTGAGAGGAGGAATTTCCAGTGGTCTGGGGAGACTCAAACTGTGCACAGAAACTTCAGGGTTCAAGCCAGAGTGTTTGGGAGTGAGATAGGGAAAAATTCTTTCCACCAAAAACTGGAAGAGGCTGATACCGTTCGAGAAACAGTTTGATTTTAAATCCACTGTTCACTTTAAACCTGAGGGTTGGTGTAATGTGATGAATGGAAGATGGTGAAGGGGGAGCAGCTGATCAGCTGATGCAGGGTGGAGGCTGCTTTTTGTAAAATTCATTCATGGGATGATGCCAGCATGTATTGCCCATCTCTAATTACCCAGAGGGCAGTTCAGAGTCAACCACATTGCTGTGGGTCTGGAGTCACATGTTGGCCAGATCAGGTAAGGATGGCAATTTCCTTTCTTAAAGGACATTAGTGAACCAAATGGGTTTTTCCAACAATTGGCAATGATTTTATGGTCATCATTAGATCCTTAATTCCAGATTTATTTTGAATCCAAATTCCACCACCTGCTGGGTTGGGATTTGAACGCGGGTGTGAATGATGAGCCTGGCTCTGACATTGCTGGTTCTGTGATGGAGATCCAGTGGGTTATAAATGTTGCTGCTACCTGCGGGATTGGGCGGGTCAGAGGGCTGCGATGAAACCACCCTGTCACCTGTTTCCTTCGGCACACAGGATAGGTCGGTTTCATTGGATTTCTCTGCCACACAACCTACTGCAACCAATGGGGCCCGGGTATCTAATCGAGATCACCCCCAAAAATATACCCTCCACTGAGATCGCCCCCAAAATATACCCCCCACTGAGATCGCCCCCATAGTATACACCCCCACTGAGATCGTCAGTATTCACACAGGAAAAAGACAATGTAGTTGAGGAGAATACTGAGATACAGTCTATTAGACTAGACGGGATTGAGGTTCATAAGGAGGAGGTGTTAGCAATTCTGGAAGGTGTGAAAATAGATAAGTCCCCTGGGCCGGATGGGATTTACCCTAGGATTCTCTGGGAACTAGAGAGGAGATTGCAGA